AGTCGCAGTGAGAGATCCTGCAGTAGTTGCTGGCTCATCTTGATCAGTTTGCAGCAAGTTAGAGGCGGATATACCAACCACTGCTATCACAAATATCAGTGTCACTAGCTGGAGGAGGATCAGTATGCCTACTAGCTTAACTAGTAGGCTGTTGCTCCCTGGATTGTAGGAGTCTTTCACGTCAACTCTAAAGGTTGGATGTTGCACCAGTTGCACGTCATCCTCTTCTGATTGATACTGGTTATCAGCAACTTCGTAGAAACTCTCTCCACCTTTCTCCATATTTGCAGCAAAACAAAGCCAAAGGCGTGGCTCATGAATTTGAATTAAAGGCACACACCCAGACTTATAATGAATTCATATTCCCAAGTGTGATCACATGAATCAATGATGATCTCCATTTTAATCAGATTCAGGAGAGCCTGGAGAGGTGGACACCAGTTTAATGCAACAATTGGATTACTTTTGTATGATAGATATGTTTTCTGTTCTGTGTGTGCACAAGATAATCGCTGTTTTCTAAATTTAAAAAAGAGTTTTAATACAAAAAGCTAATAGCAATATCAACAAGCAGCCAGAGTAAACATTTAAAAAGTTGAGGAATAAAAATGGGGACCTATGTAAAAAGCAGCAAAAAATCAGGAAAATATATAAATAAGAAAAAGAAGCAGCAAAATTAAGAGTAATAAATAAATGGTAAAGCAGCGGCATAAAGTTTAAAGTTTTACTTGATGTATATCTCATAGAAAGATATTGGGGTATCTTCATTCCATGGAGCTTCGTTTCCACAGGATCTCAACTCAATGTGCTCGTTGGTGCTGTTTGTAAGATTCCTGTGGAACCACGGGAGATTGGGATTGGTACAACATGGACTCTCGAGTGAAGTACAACCCTGACCGTCCCATAGTGGATCATTTGGATACAGAAGATTATTTGCATACCAACTATTAGGATTACCAGATTCACAATAATAATCATCACCAACGAAAGAAGGTGTAGGAATAGTGCTTCCTGTAGCACAAGGACAGCTATCGGTACTGCTGAGATAATTTTCAAACAGTGCTGACATTAGTGTCCAGACATGTTTCCTTGGTAACCCACGTGTGATACTGATACCGTCAACGTAATAAGAGTCAATACCTTGGCCAGCAAAAATTGCAGGTGAGATTGCATCAGTGTGTGCGAATTGGAAAGCTGTGACTCTCCCACATATTTGTGTGTAATTGAGTCCATTTGGTGAGAATGAAGTAGAACTGCAACCCCAATTCCTCTTGCAGTATCTTTTACCACTGTTAACATAATAAATAAAACTACTTGGACAGTTTTGAGTAGCATCAGACATGTCTAGATATCCTATCCTTGTCCATCCTCCTCCTGAACCACACAGCTCGTCCATATTACAATAAATATTTCTGCTGTTGACGTGGTACCAACCAGTTGGTGAGCTTGGTAGTGCATTCTTAATATCGGCACATGAAACAGGAGTAATGGAATTAAAGATACTTGAAGCATTTTGCAATTCAAGCAGCTCTTGAACAACACCAATGATGTCATCCACAACACTTGAAGTACGGATCCCTGTATCTTTGATATTAGATAGAGTGGAGACTACATCTGTTAGTTTGTCTGATGTAGATTGTGTCGTTTGCATGACCATATTCAAAATATTTGTTTGATTCATTGACTTTGTTGCCTCATCTTCTGCAAAATCTTGTATCTCATCAACTTTAGAAGCCGTGTTGTTTAGCATTGCAGCTGTGTTACTGAGAACTTGTGCGATCCCTCCTTGCCCTTGCGTGAGGGCCATGTTAAGAGAATATATTTCTTTCTGAAGCATGGAGTTGTTGTACCCATTGTCAAGGCTGAAATTGCAAGCTCTATCTTCAGACCCCGGACTAGCAGTCGCAGTGAGAGATCCTGCAGTAGTTGCTGGCTCATCTTGATCAGTTTGCAGCAAGTTAGAGGCGGATATACCAACCACTGCTATCACAAATATCAGTGTCACTAGCTGGAGGAGGATCAGTATGCCTACTAGCTTAACTAGTAGGCTGTTGCTCCCTGGATTGTAGGAGTCTTTTACGTCAACTCTAAAGGTTGGATGTTGCACCAGTTGCACGTCATCCTCTTCTGGTTGGTACTGGTCGTCAGTAACTTCGTATCCGCCCTTCTCCATCTCAATCTTTGCAGCAAATTCGCAAAACAAAGCTAAGGGCGCGGCTCATTATGACCACACCCAGACCCGCCCTTTATAATCATATTCATAGTCCCACGTGGTACTGCATGTAATAAATCATTAATAATGATCTCCATTCTTTTAAGATCACGTCTCTTTCCCTCTCTCTGTCCAGCTGTATATTTCTCCTCCAGGGCCCCAGAGACAACCTCTGATAAAATATTTGGTGACAGAAAACGCTGTGAGGACCTCTCTTCTTTACAAGATGAGTATTTTGTCTTGTCACAGATCGACGTGCTCATAACTCAGAACAAGGTTAGTGATATCACGTGACTAAAGGCGAGACTTTTTGTGTGACAGGTGCAACATGCTGAGCCATTGTTTAACAGATACAGGAGAGGTGGACACCAGTTTAAACCTGACGTCTATAATCAAATTATCGAGGGATGGCTGAAACAGGTTTATTATTTACTATTAATAATCATTAATTAACTAATTTATTATATCTTTTATTGTAGGACAATGAATTAAAGGCCCATCTTTTGTATCATTCCATGATTACGGACGATGTTTCGCCAAATCACAATACTTATGCTATTTTACTTTCTCATCACGCAAAGTATATCAAATTATATTAATATTATTTATATTTTTCTTTTCTCTCTCTCTCTTTTCTTTAGTTCTGGTAATATGTCTGAGATTGATAGTCTTATAAATGAAATGAAACTACAAGTAAGTACAGTATATTGATCACATGACTATCACATGATCCCAGGGTTATTCCCCATCACACTTACCTCATCAAGTATGCATTTCCAAAGAAAGAATGACATCGCTCATTAAAGTATTACATTATTCATTGAATGGGTGTGGCTAATTTTAACGAGCACTACATAGCTGTTAGGAGAGTTAGGCCTTGTTATCGAAATAGCCACCTGCAAAGGAGAAAAATTTCCCGCCTC